TTTCGAGACAGGGTTTCTCTGTGTAGTCCTGGCTGTCTTGGAACTCACTCTGTAGACCAGGCTGGCCTCGAACTCAGAAATCCACCTGCCTCTGCCTCTCAAGTGTTGGGATTAAAGGCATGCACCACCACTGCCCGGTAGTCCTCCTTTTTCTTTTTTTTTCCTTTGAGAAACAGCATCTTACCATATAGTATTCGCCTGGCCTTCCCTGTATAGACCAGACTTAGCCTTGAATTCAGAGATTCTCCTGTGTTTGCCTCCTGAATGCCAGGATTAAAGACATTCATGACCAAACCAGGCCAGACAATCTTTTAAACCTCAATTTTCTTGTTTTAAATTTAAGTTACTCTTTGAACAAGATTGAATTAACTAATTCTCTCCCTACTTTTCTCTTTCTCCTTCTCCTTTTTCAATTTTATTTCATTTTGTTTGTTATTTTGTTTTTCTAGACAAAGTTTTTGTGTTTTCCTGGCTGTCCTCAGACTCACTCTATAGACCAGGTTGGTCTTGAACTCAGAGATCCATCTGTCTCTACCTCCCAAGGTCTAGGATTAAAGACCTCTGTCACCACTGCTGGGTTTCTTTTTGGTTTTTCTGAAAAAAAAAATTGTCTCACTATATAGTATAGGCTAGTTTCAAATTTTTTGTGTGATTCAGGCTGTCTCCCTGCTTCCATATGCTTGGATCATAGGGATATGCTACCACATTTGGCCATAGACGTTATTTTAACCTATAAGGTACTTTGTATGCATGTATATTTTTTAGACCATCATTGTTTATGTTCTAGTATCTTTATTATATAGTAGTAAAGGTAATTATATAGTATTCAGATTTATTGATTAAACAAACTTAGGTAAAATGCAGATGGATCAGCTGTTGCAGAATTTTCACAAAGAGGGGACTCTTTAAATAATTTTAACTGGTACATATTTTCATGAATTATATCTTAAACTTTTTGTGGTACAACATACACACAAAAATGTATGCATTTAAAATAATAGTCATAGCTAACAATATACTTATTATCCAGCTTTAGATGAACTTGCCTGAAATTCACTCAGAATTAAGACTACCTCTCATGTAATGCTCATGTGCTCTGATTTGGGTGTGTGCTTTTGATTTCTCTCCTGAGCTCCAGCCCAGTAGATCCAGCTATCTACCTGATGTTCCTACTTGGTGTTGATGGGCAGTTTAGACTGATCATCTCCAAATCTCACCTATATTTCTATTCCCACTCACTTGCTTTAGCTCAGTTCATGATAAGTCTGTTCTTCTCTAGTGGCTTTGGATAAGATGTTGGGCTTCTGCCTCCTTCTCCCTCTCCTTGACATCCCATGTGGAAGTTATCAGCCAATCCTGTTGACAGTTCTTGGAAAATGCATGTAACTCTCCCTTCCAAATTTGACACTGCTAACTTTGTCCATGCTACTGATCTCAAGGTAGTTGTTAGAGCCTCGAAGCTTCCCTCTCTGCTTGGATTGTCCCCTTCAGGTCCATTTCAAGCAGAGGAGCTGGAGAGATCTGAGAACATCTAGTAGTCAGGTGATGCCATTTCTTTGCTCACTTTGCTTCCCAGACATGGAAACGACTCGCACATCTGTCTGTTGCTAGGCTATGCTGACAACTTTCTGTTCCCCAGTCATGCTGCTTACTATCTGGCCTCAGGGGGTCCTCAGAACCTTTCATTCTGGAAGTCTCCAGCTTTTGATCTCTTCCTTGCCTTCATGGTCATTATACTCTGGATCAAAGCTATTAGGCATAAATTAAACCCTTGGGCAGATATCCATTTTAGAGTTCTGGTACCTTACTTGACTTTAGACCCTTCAATATTTTGCATTCTGCAAGAAATTACTTCATCTTTTGCCAGCTGAGTAGATCAGTAGAAATGTTATGTTTGTTGGGTATTTCAACTGACTTTGTCAGTCATTTTGCCAGAATTCAAAGTCTTATTTATTTTTATTATTAAGCAGTTAAGCTAAATTGTTGATTTCTCTGAGTAATTCTGCTTTCTTGGATTAAAGGATGGAAGACTGCAGACAGGGGATCATATCTTGAAGATTGGTGGTACAAATGTGCAAGGAATGACCAGTGAACAAGTTGCTCAAGTGCTAAGGAACTGTGGGAATTCAGTGAGGATGCTGGTGGCCAGAGACCCTGTTGGTGAAATCGCAGTAACACCTCCTACCCCTGTCTCCTTACCTGTTGCCCTACCTGTTGTAACCACAAGAACCCTTGATTCTGTGAGTATAGAAACCATTCTTCTTACATCACATGCTACCTATGATACAATGCAAGATAAGAAATTCCTTCAGCTGGATGACCGTACTAGCCTAAGTCACACTTCAGTGCTCATATGTGAAGCAGAGGAGAACCTATATGAATATTAGACATGTCTCTCTCTCTCTCTCTCTCTCTCTCTCTCGCTCTCTCTCTCTCTCTCTCTCTCTCTCTTTCACTCCTTTTTGGTGTGGTGGTGTGTGTGTGTGATGTACCTTAAAGCCAGATATCATTGTCTTCCTCTATCACTCTCTTCTTATTTTTGAGACAGAATCTCTCACAGAGTTGAGAGCCTGCCATTTCAACAAGAATGGATGGCCAGCAATCCCCTGGGATCCTGTGTCTGTCTCCCCAGAGTTGAGATTCCTGGTATATGCTACCATTGCCTGGCTTCTAACGTCTGGCACTAAAGTTATGAACTTTGTTCCTCACATTTGCATAGCAATTGCTTTGCTGACTGAACCATCTTCCCATTCCCTTCTTGACTTCTCTTCCCCATGAATAAAAGCAGGAAGAGACAGTCTCTGTTAGTAACAAATGTAAAGCAAAAATTTTTCTTCAGAGATATCACTAAGGTCTTTTGAAAAGTTGCCCATCCCTATTGGAAACCATTTGAAAAGGAATTTTCTATCTATGATAATAGAAGTTACTTTGTTTCATTTCTCCAGGTTGTAGTGATAACTGATTTTTGTTTCCTACATTACTGTACCTCACTGAAGTCTTTTCATCCATTGAAGGGACATGAGGCTCTGTGATATATGGGACTTCACTCTCTCTGTTGTTTAGTTTCTAATGCTGATGCTTGAAATTGAAAAAGTATTATATATAATACCTAGCCTTTTCCTTGGCTTCTAAATTTTATTGTTAGACATATGATTCTTTCAGGAAATACAGTCTGAGGTTTTTCTAAATGGCTGTATTAATTTTCTAGTGTTATGTTACAAGTTGTTACACATTTAGCAGCTGAAGCAGTACCTTTTGTTAGTTTGCAATTGTGTAGGTCAGAATTCAGCATGAGCTTGGCTGGGCTTTTTGCTTAGTTTCTTGTAAGGGGAAGTGAAGGTGTTGGTTCATCTGGGCTCTGTTCTTGACATCTGGGCTTGTGAGCCTGTTCAAGTTGGTGGAAGAATGCAGTTCTGTGCTGTCGGATGGATGGCCTTTTTTTGTTGGCCTCCAGCCAGATATCTTTCAAGGGACCGACCCTTATGGTCCCCTTGTTCCTATCTTTCTTGTATGACCGCTCTACCTTCAAACTACAAGTTGATCTCCTCTGTTTAAAATGTTTTTCTTTTCTCTTTCTGTTACCAGTAGGAGCAAACTCTGCTTTTAGGAGGTTCTGTATTAGGTTAGGCTCCCGTGAATGATCTCCCCTTGTCATGGATTTTATAAGCACAGGTGGTCCAGAGACCAGGAGTCATGAGAACCGTCTTAACATTCAGTATGTGACAGAAGAAACTTGGCAAACTGGCTGCACAGATTGACCATCTACAGAATATGCAACTGAAAATGTAACTATACATGTGTTATTTCCCTACAGGACAGTTCTCTTTTTGAAACTTACGATGTTGAACTTGTCAAAAAAGATGGACAGAGTCTTGGGATTAGAATTGTTGGCTATGTTGGAACAGCTCATCCAGGTAAATGAATCATTTCTACTTCATATTTGGGATAATTATAAAGGATGTTAAAGTTTCTACATAATAAAATTAAGTACCTGAAGACTTTAATTTAAAACTCACAGTAAACCATGAATCTATAATAGCAAGCAGTTACTTTCCAGTGATTAGAGCCACATTTTTGTGTCAGTGGTTTAACAGCTAGCTTTATGGTCAGTACCAAAGGAATTTTAACACGCAGTCCAGTTTGTACCATTTTCACTTCACTTTCCTTTGCTTCTAAAATAGTTCTGTTTTGAATACTGTGTGATTGTTAACATATTATATAGTACTATGTCTGGGATTAAGTAAGTTAATCACTGCATATGCTGTATATTGTGAATGCTCAAAATGTATTATTTTGTGTTTAATCATGAGAAAAGTAAGATAGAATAAACATTTTGTTAGAATCTTTTTTCCTTTTATATAAGGGGAGAGTGGTGTGAGAATACATAATTCAAGTATCTGAATAAAATGTTTTCAGCCATTACCTGAAAGTTAGCAGTAACTTTGTTGGTTTTCTCTTGGCTATTAAAAAATTACTAGGTTAAATAAAGTGAACCTTTACAAAATATTTGGTAGTTACATGAAAATTTATTTATAATTTAGTTATAAAGTAGTTTAGTTTTTCTGAAAAATAGCAAATATAGAGTTAATTGTTTAAAAGGGAATTGTCATCATGCATGGAGCAGGTGGAGAGATTAAGAGTATTCACAGTCCTGAGGGGAACGCACATCAGACTACTCTGTGCTACTTTAGCCTAACTAAGTATCTAATTTCAAAAGTTTGATTTTTCTATGCATCACCGCTTTTTAGGATCAGAATTCAAATAAGTCCCTTAAAAGCTGAGTATAAACATAAAAACTAATGTTGCACCACACATGTTGAGTCATTATCCCTGTCCTCTGCCTGGTTACAGGACTTGTGGCTGAGTTCCTAAACACATGACTCAGTGCCTAAGTGGAAGTTAATAAATGAGAGAAAAATTAATGTTTGTGTTACTGAGTGCAGAAAGGAACCTTTTACTTATTTACCCTCAAAACCCTCGTGGGCTGGGGTGTTTTGGGGAGGATGAGCAAGTGAATTAAAAAATGAGATATTTAAAAGTCAACAGGTTTTAAAACCATGCATACAAGTAACTTGTACCTTGTTGCATTTATTGTTGCGTTTTTGATGCTGGGGGTTGATTGAGAGTGGTGGCATGCTCCTGTAATGTCACTGTAGCAGCTGAGTGGATGGTCACGGGAGTTCACAAGTGTGAGGCCATCCTGGGCAACACAGGGAACCTTCATCTTAGAAACCAAAGCAAACAAAAAAGTCTATTCCGGGAGTGTGACTAAAGTATAAGAACATTTTAATTGTTTAAAGATAACTGAAAATACATGTTTTAGTAGAGAAGCAAACAGCTGTCCTGACATGACAGATGAAAGACTGAAGTTGACAGGAGAATTCAGAAAGAAGCATGAGAGCTAGTAATGAGAAAGGAGGGGATTAGACACAAGGCAAGAAAGGCTGAGTCAGGAAAGCACTCGGTAGGTGAAATGGCCGCCTGGGTGTTTTCCTGTTATTGAAGACTTGGGGTGTCATTCAGGATGTGCTGTATGATGCTGGCAGTGGGAACGTAATAAAAAATCATTAAGAGGTAGTTTTTTAATTTCTCAGTTTCCCTTGGGGATTTACTTTTTATATAGTTATAATTTTTATGGCTATTTGTGATTAAATATTTAATTTTACAGTGTATGGATTGTTTAATGTTGCTGAGCTCATTCTACTTTTTAAAATTATTGTATGTGTACAGGGTTGTGTGCCTGTAGACTTCCCATGTAGAGGTTGGAGGGCCACTCTGTGGAGTTGGTTCTTCCCACCTGTATGTGTGTTGCTATGATTGAACTCAGATGCCAGGCCATCCCTGCCCCAATTTTGAAAGACCACATGTGCTTTTTTTTTTTTAACCTGGATGACATACATGAGCACTAAACTAAATAGAGACAGGAGTATGTGTGAGTCTCGTCACGATGCTGGTGACAAACGATGGGCGCTTCCGCTGAGCCGGCTGGCAGTGCGAGCAGAGCTCACCAGGGTTCATCTGGCCCTGCAGAGCCAGCTTAGAGAGACATGCATTCTCCCAGGTTCCATTACTGATTATTTTTCCAGAAGGGTAGTCATCAGTCAACTCACTTTTAATTCAGGTCACTTGTGATGGTGACAGTTTGAAATAATCCATCAATTTCCCTGTGTGTGTTCAAAACAGTATTTATGAAGTCTCTAGTCAGCCTCTTTTGCTAATTAACCTCTTGATAGAATTTTGTAATCAAGTCCTAATTTTAGCTTTCTTCCTTTTTCTGTGTGTCTATGCACCTTCAGGGGAAGCTTCAGGAATCTATGTGAAAAGTATAATCCCAGGCAGTGCTGCATACCACAATGGCCAAATTCAAGTGAATGATAAAATTGTGGCTGTAAGTAATGACTTTCTAGTGTACATTTGACACAGGTTAGAGAAACGTTTCTATTTTCTATCATATACCAGAGAAGAAGATGAGATGGCTTAGTTTAATTTTATAATATTTGTTTGTTTGTTTTAGTTTATGCTTTTATATATATTTTGAGACAGGGTCTTACTGTATAGCCTTGGCTGATCTAGAACTCAGTATGTAGACCAGGCTGTCCTTGAATTCAGAGACCACCTGCCTCTGCCTCTCAAGTGCTGGAATTAAAGATGTGCTCCACCATGCCTAGCTCATAAGGTTTTAAAAAATCAACTTTATTACTGCAGTGTATCACATTGATTTAGGCTTTTATATGATTGTTTTCTAGTCAAACAAGAAGCAGTCCACTAAACATATTTATAGAAAAAAATTGTACATTTACTTAAATAAATAAATGTATGCATGAAAATGTATCTGAAAGATGTTTTATGTCCCCTGGGAAATACTTTTTAAAGAGTCTGGGCATTTATCCATTTTACATATAGTGAAGAATCTATTTACCAGTTCTGCTTGCTGCTTTTTCTACTTAGAATAATTTGAGTCCACCAAAAATTGAAATACTTTATGTATTTGAGAATATAACCTTTTGCTAGTTAAAATTAGTCTCCCCTATTAGTAGTAAATGTCTCCGTGCTTTGCTATTTGTTCATGTTATACACATGTTCCACACTGACATAGACAGAACCGGATGGTGATCAGAGTCCATCTGAGGAATACTGGCTTTTGGAAATGCCAGTTGATGATTTGTAGGGTCTGGAGGCCAGTAGAAGCATTGCATTCTGGAGGAAGTCTAAAGCAATGGTCTGGCCTGCCTGGCTTCTTGCACATACATTTTTCAGAACATTAGAAGCCCCAATGATGGGAAATGAGTGTGCTTCTATGGAAAATATCACAGAATAATACCATACAGGGATAACACCTCAATATTAGTAATTAATTTTTGTTTTATTTTGAGAATAATATGTAACAATTAACTAGATTTTATAGCTTTTTAAATTTTTAAGATTTTAAATATCATTATAAATTAATAATATCCCTTTGCCTCTGTCAGGCTGATACTTAAAATATGTGACTTAAGAATATAAGATTATAATATCGAATTTATTTTTTAATTTACATGTAAGTTTATCAGCAGAGCTAGTTTTTTATTCTTATTCAAACTACTTTCTGGTCTAATATGCATTATTCAGGGGGAATAAAATTCGTTACCCCATTTTATTCAGCACTGGCGGAGCTAAAAATTGGAGTAGCTGAGAGGCATGATGGATAGCTCAACCTCTAATCCTACCATTCAAGAGGCTGTGAATCTGAGGTCAGCCTGGGCTATCAACTGAGTCATCCTCTCTGCACTACATAGTGAGACCCTCTTTCAAAAACCAAAACGAAAATGGTGGTAGTTTACTTGAAACTCTGCTTTGTCTCTTGATCTCATAGGTGGATGGTGTCAATATTCAGGGCTTTGCTAATCAGGATGTTGTTGAAGTGTTGCGGAATGCGGGGCAGGTGGTGCACCTGACCCTAGTTCGAAGGAAAACATCTTTATCTGCTTTGCCATTTGAACAGCCTTCAAACAGAGGTAATTAATGCTCCTGTCCGTCTCTTCTCCATGGAGTTGGGTTTGGAGGAACAGCCAGGGTTTGAAGATTGGTCTGGGAGTTTGAGTAGGAAACTGTGCTTCTCTCGGGTAGTGCAGTAGTGAACAGGTGAGTCAGCTGTCTGCCTTGCAGAGGCATTTCCTGTCAGCAATTCATGCACCTACCTAAATGACAGGAAGCAAGCACTGACCGCCTGAGCCCAGAGCTCTCTAAATGGAGAGAGAAATCATTTTTTGATCTAGGACCCTTCATTTGTATTTTACCTTGACATTTCTTAAGCTTCAGATCTCAGATTGATTTTAATGATGAGTTTTACCCTAGTTGTCTTTTGGTTTGCCTTTTAAGTATGTTGAGAAAAATAAAACAAATTTTTATCAAGAACATTTTTATTAAAAATAATGTTTGTTATCAATAACAAATAACAAATCTTCATTGCAGAAAAATACACAATTTTTTGGATATCAGAGGACCTCTTTTGGGGGACAGTTTTCCCTTTCCACCATATTGGTTCTGGAGATTGACTAAGGCCATCAGTCTTGGCAGCAAGTGCCTTTACTAGCGGAGCCATCTTGCTGGACACTAGTTGGTCTTTGCGGCACACAGTCACACTGCTGTGTTGTTAACATTCTGATGGTACATGTTCCTCTGCTTTCTCAGGAGCTCTGATTGGCATTTTATAATTTAAATTATTTTTATTTTCTTTGAGTATTTTTGTTTGCATGTATATCTGTGCATGACATATGTGCTAGGTGCCTATGGAGGTCAGAAGAGGGAGGCCATTGGATTCTTGGAACTGGAGTTACAGACAGTTTTAAGATGCCATGTGAGAGCTGGAAATGAAACCCAGGTCCTCTGGAAGAGCAGCCAGTGAGTGCTGTACTGACCCATCACTCCAGCCCCTCTAATTGGCATTAGAAAACAAACGACTATTAACTCCAGTTTCACTAGGCATGGTCATGATGCATAGCTTTAATCTCAGGAAACAGAGCTCGGCAAATCTCTGTGAGTTTGAGTCCATCCTGGTCTACATAGCAGGTTCCAGTCCCGTCAGGGTAAAATAGTGAGGCATTGTCTCAGAAAGTAAACAAACAAACTCAGGTTCCAAGGGGTCAGAGTGTTCTTTTCTGACCTCTAGGCACCAGGCAGGCACCCAGTGTGCATATGTACATCCAGTCAAATCACTTGTACACATTAAATAAATAAATAAATCTCAAAAGAAAATACTATACTAGTTGCTTTTCTCATTGCCGTGACCAAATACACACCAAGAAACAGGTTTAGAAAGGAAGGACTGAGGTCATTGTCAGTCACAGTACATGAATAACCAGGGATTCCTTTTTATTTATTTTTTTTATTTTTTGGTTTTTGGTAAAGGGTTTTCTCTGTGGACCAGGCTAGCCTAGACTTCACAGAGACCTGCCTGTTTCTGCTTCCCTAGTGTTAGGATTAAAGACATGTGCCACTACCACTTGGCTAGAGATTCCTTTCTTAATTGTTTCAAATCCCATCAGGTTACCAGCCTAGAGTAATTTTTACACTGTGTGTGTGGTCCACACTTTGGATCTTAGCATTCAGAGGCAAGTGGATCACTGTGAGTTCAAGGCCAGCATCACCTACATAGCAAGTTCTAGACCAGCAAGGGGTACATAGTGAGATCCTGTCTTAAAAAGGAAACCAAGCTAGGCATGATGGCATTCACCTTTAATTCTAGCCCTCAGAAGGCAGGTGGATCTCTTGAGTTTGAGACCATCGAGGTCTACATAGTGAGTTCCAGGACAGTTAGAGCTATGCAGAGGGATCTTGTCTTAAAAAACCAAGCCAAACCAAAGAAAACAAAACAAAAGATTACCCTTTATAATTATCGTGTGTATTCTCTGGTGCTGTGTGTGTACCTTATTGACTAGCCTATCTGTAGAACTTCCCTATGTTTTGTGATGGAAACTTCATGTCACTAACTTGAGTCTCTCCTCCTTGGCGGCTATCATTTTCCTGTTTCTTTGAGTTTGACTCTGCAAAAGGCACAAGGGTAGGGCCATGCTGTGTTTGCCCTTCTCTCCTGACTAATTTTACTTCACATAGTATCCTCTACACCATCCACGCCTAGCAACCGATTAGACTTCCTTTGAAAGAATCAATAATATTTATTGTTTGTATATGTGCACTTCATTTATGTATTTATGCTAAGTGTTCACTGACGCTGTGTCCCTGTCTTGGTTATTATAAATAAATAATGCTTCAATTAATGATAGACATTTCCCATCCTAGTGCTATGTATGCATTTATTTATGGCGTCAGATGATTAATGAGCTAAAATATATGCTGTGAGTGGTTTTAAAGTCTCAGGTTACCGTCACAGGAGTTTAATTGGTTTTATGTTTGAACTCTTTGTAATTGAAACATTTCAAGCATATAGAGAAAGAACAGAGCAGAGTGAACACCCACTCACCTTCACTTATATCTGACAGTTGTCATCTTCCCATATTTCTTCTGAATCATTTTACAGTGAGTGGTGTAGCAGCCCCAAAGATAAGGATGTTTTCGTAAACAATCATAATATTATAACCAAGAGAAGTAATAGTAATATCTAATATCACATACTTTGTACCTAAGATTTCCCAGTTGGTGATGCCAAGGAGATCACTCTGTGGATCAGAGGGTAAGAATGCTTGTTGTATAAGCATGAAGACCTGATTCAAGTGCCCCAGATCCATGCAAGAGAAACTGAGCATGGCTGTATATGTGCTTGTAAACCAGCACTGTGAGGGACAGAGACAGGAGGATTGCTGTCGTTTCTTGACTGCCAGCCTAGCTCCAGGTTTCTCAAGAAATACTACCTCAAAAAAGTAAGGTGAGAGAGATGCAGCAGGACACTGCAGTCCTCCTTAGGCTCTGTGTGCAGGCACACCAACACACAGATCGTATGTGCACGTTCCCAGACAGACAGACACACCACACACATCCACACAACACACACATACATTTCCCAGTTGCTCTAAAATGTCATTTGTATGTTCTCTTCCTATTCCTTTTGACTCCTCCCTTAAAATCCTTCCTAAACCATGTATCCCATGTGTGTTGACTCTGGCTTCTGAGTGTAGAAGAGCCTCTTATCCCTGCCCTGTGCTTTTTTCTTCTTCTTTTCTGAAGGGATTAATCTTAGATGCTAAAATGCCACAACCTGAACTTGAGTACTTCTTTGCAGGCTTGTACTTTTTTTTTTTTTTAACTTTTTATTGGTTCTTTGTGAATTTCAAATCATGTATACTAATCTCACTCATACCTGTCCCCTCATACCTGCCCTCCATCCTTGCAGCCTCTCCCCCAAAAGGAAAAAAAAAATCTTATTGTGGAAGCTGTAGTGTATCACACAGTATACCCTTTTGTCCACACTTCATTGCTTGCAAATGTTCATTGCAATGAGTCACTGGCCCAACGCCAGTGTTGCCCTGGCAAGGTGCAGGGTCTGCTCTCCTGAATGCTGTAGCTGGTGAGGGCAGGGCCAGCTCTTCCACTCTGATGACCTTGGGGCCAGTTCTCTTGCCTGCTACAAGTGGTAAGAGGTGAGGGGGAAGGGGGAAGGGGAAGGAGGGCGTCTTTTCCTCATCCATGTCTCACTGCACAAGAGATGAGTGGCAGGACCATCTGTTTCACACTCATACTATGCTCACCCACAACTCTTCCAGTTGCCAGCTCTGCTGAGCTTTCTGGGCAAAGGGAGGGATCAGCTCTCCAGCTCTCACGCCCCTCAGGGCCAGCTCTCCTGTGATGTCCAGTTTAGGGATCAGCCAGTTCTGCACAGCCCTCAGTCATCAACATGGTCCTGGGTGGCAGCCCAGACCAGAGATATCTACCTGGAAACAGACCCCTGCTGCTACAGGGCCATGGACCCAGACATGGCCCTCAGTGGTAGCATAGGCCAGGATGTCACCATGATCTTAGGTGGCATCACTGGCTACTCTTACCAGGCTGTTCCTCACTACCCTTGATTTTCTGGTTCTGTCTCTCTTCATTGTTCCACCCACATCCTTCTGCTTCCCTTTCTCTTCCATTTTTCCACCACTTACTTTCTTTCTCCTCTTAGTGGCTCCCAGGGTGTCTCGGTTTCTGGGGTTGTCTTAGGAGTGTTGCTTCCTGCCCATGCAGTGTGACACTGGGCAGGGGTCGTCTTGAGTGTGGTCTGCCTGCCAGATTCTTCCTGGCACTGGACTGGTGCTTGTCTCAGGCCAGCTCCCTGTCTGCCCCAGTAGTGCCAGACTGGTGATTATCTTGGGTTCGTTCCTGCCTGGACCCTGTGGCCCTAGGTGGACTTGTCTTCTCTCAGGCTATACCTTGTACTTTAAATAAAAATTCTTTTACAAAGAGCTGAAGAGATGACTCGTGATTAAAACTCTTGGTGCTCTTACAGAGGGCCCAGATTCGGTTTGCAGCACCCACATGATGGCTCATGACCATTCATAACTCTGGTTCTGTCTAAGAGATTTGACACCCTCTTCTGTCCTCTGAAGTCAGAAGGCCCACACTTGATGTATATACATACATGAAGGCAAAAACTCTGTACACATTAAAAATGATATGTTAAAATTTAAGAAATTCTTTTCAAATGATGGGAATTATTTTGTTCAAAACCCGAAACTCTTCTAAAGTGTTGCTTGTGCAGCCTTTCTTCTGTTGAAAGACACTTAGTGATTTGTTGGCAATTTGGCTAATCTTTATTTGCTTCCGCTAGGGAAAAAGCAGAGCGCCATCTGCACCCTCACCCCAGTATCTGAGGTTGCTTGTGTGGCTGTTCACATTGGCTTGATGGTCCAGCCTATTTGCGTATGTTGCTTAATACCTCTCCACAACAGCAAGAATATACAGCCTTCTCCTTGATGCTTTCTTATTTCTTTTCCTTTCTAAAGCTATAGTAAATCATCTCTCCCTGTTTTGTCGAGGTTTAGCCTTGCTTTTCACTTTCATTTTCTGTACTTCCTCATTCTTTGAATACTGTCAAGCTATCTTTATGATTAACTACCTCACAGAACACTTTCGTATAAAGGCATCACGCGCAGCGAGGTCCTGGGAAGGGCAAATGGGAGTGAAATAAGCTCACTTGGATGCGTCCCCCACCCCCAACAGGACTAGTGATTTAAGCCACAATTCTTATTTCAGAAACTGTTGCAGAACCACCTAAAGTACCAGAACTAACTGAGTCCCTGGAACCAGAAACTAATTTGAGTATGGAAGCAGAGGAAATTGGAGAAAGACTGGATAATCTAAAAAAGGACACTGTCCAAGCCTTAGAAAAACCAGGTAGGCCCAAAGCCTTTACTTCGGAGTACTTCAACCTGTTTGTTTATTAACCATTTCCTCTCTATAGTTAATATGGTGTGGTATCCACAGAATCAGACTTAGACCTATGCAGTAAAGGCAATATCACATCAAGAACTTTGTAAAGTTGCAAATATTCTAACAACCAGGTAGCTACCAGTGACTCATATAAAAGCAGTTTAGATCTGATGGAAGCTCATGCTGTCGAGACACTCAGCAGTTTAAGATGGGCTGTTTTTCTAGGGATGCACTATCATTGTAGAGTGCTTGCCTACCATGTATGAGGCTCTAGGTTCAATCCTTGGTACTACCACCAACCTTAGGTTCAATCCCTAGTACTAACACCAACCTCACACTCCACCCCCAAAACTGAAATAAAATGGGGTATTTTGAATGTAATCTTAACATAATGTTAAGCTATTTGGTAGTAGAGCACCAAATGTATTTTTATTTAACTGTGTTTCAAAAGCATATTTATTAGCATGCAATAACTAAATAGCATTTTAATCACTATGTATTCTTGCTTAGATTAAGAAGTATTCTTAGATTACTTATTTAGATATAAATTGTATTTATATGCAAATATTTGATCTCTTAATCTATATCATCTATCTATCATCTGTCTGTGTGTTTATCTGTGTGTGTGTCTCCTCTTTATCAAAGTTAATAACATGAATTTTTCATACGTTGCATCTAGTGACTAGGCTGCTTTATGTCTAAATTTTTGAATTGTGTGCAACTTTGACCTTTGACACTATACTTTAACACTTCAGTTGTCACTGGGACTCCCTTCTGTAATCGGAGTTATAGCTTGGTTCCTTCTACAGAGGTCTTCAGCTGGGTGAAACTTCTTAAATTTTTCTTACAGTTGTGTTCCAGAGGAGCTGGCTTTTGCCTTTTTTGTTAGGAAAGTCTTACTCAAGATAAAGGTTTAGGAGCTCCCGACCCCTTTGCATCCGCTAGAGTGCAATTAACTGTTACTCTTTTAATTTAGTTGAGCTAAGATAAATATCAAAGGATTACGAGGTGAAAATCAAGTAATCTTGAAATTAGAAATAGTCTTAGTAGTATTTTACCTCATTACTATTGTCATTGTTTTGCTTGTTTTTGAGAAAAGGCATTACTGTATAGCCCAGGATAGCCCAGAACTCACAGCACTCCTAGCTCCATTTCCCCTCTGCATTACCCATTTTTTTTTTCTTTTCTCCTGCCCCCATCACTCCTGCCTCCTGCCCCAGTGCTATTCCACAATGTAGCCCTGGTGGCCTGAAACTTGCTGTGTAGACCAGGCTGGCTTCAACTCAAAGAGATCTGCCTGCTGCTGCTGCTGCCTTCTATGTGCTGGGATTAAACATGTACACCACCATGTGGACACAGAATTGTACTCATGTTTTTAAAATGAATTCCACTGCATTTTCCCATGCATGTGTATACTTTCAGTTTGCAAGTATGCCCACCTCTCCTGGCTGTTGCTGTTAGTCTTTCTCACCTGTGTGATGAGCCTAGCCTTTTGTGCCTTTTTGTGTTGTTTTGTTTGTTGTTTGTTTTTGTTTTGTTTTCTTGAGTTGTTGCAAGTAGATTAGTCTACTTCCTCTGGCCTTCGAGCTCTGATTTAAAACACATAGATGTCCCTGTTTTCATTTTTTGCCTAAAAGGTGAAAACAGGCCCAAGGGAATTGAAGTGGCAGTGTTTCTTCACTTCAGTGACCCTTCCGCTGGTCTACCTCTGACTACTATGTGTGTAAGCGTAGAGTTCTCTCCATACATTGCAGATTTTGTTCAGAGTCACTAAGCAGATATGAAGCTACACCTGGAAGAAACTGAACAGGCAAACTGTTGAGACTTTTAAAGATTTTGGTAAAGGGGCCAGAAAGATGGTATAGTGGATAAAGGTACTGGCAGTGAGTCTGAAACCCAAGGTTAATTCCCAGAACCCCTGGTAGGTGGAAGGAGAAAACCAGCCCCACAGAAGTTGTTCTCAGACATCCACATGTGTACTGTGACTTGTAGACCACCACCCCTCTCCCGTGCCCCCGCCCCTGCCCCCAGTCTCCTTCACCTCAAATACTGAGAAATTAAAAACAAAAAAGGAAACTGGTAAGAACTCATACTTCCGTAAGGGAGTACATGCCACCCAAGTGAGTTTGGTACTTGTTTTAATAAAATCTTTGATTAGCTGCCCCCAAACGTAATCTAGCATATCAGTTAACGTAGTTATTTCCTGGATGTTCTTTTGTAAGTAGAGTAATTTAAGTTCTTTAGTGTGCATTAGTCTTAGTCTCTGATTCTGAAGTTAGCCTATTTAACTTAATCATTTGTAGTACGTAATTAAGCATTCTGTGCAGCCAGAGCGAGCAGTTCTGAAGCTGAAAGGGCTGATGCTGCAGGGTACGTTTGACTGTAGGCAGATGGCTGTGTCACTTGTGAGAAGTGTTCTCTGACATGTCCAGTCTTACAGCAGAAATGAGAAACTTAACTTAAAACAACCCGAGACCTTTTCATCCTCTGCTCTTGGTGTGGGTGTAGGTGCAGATGATAGTTTCAGTACCTAGACTTTTATCTGTCAGGTATTCTTCAGACTGCTTGCTGCTCTGAGACTCTGGGGAAGATTATATGGAGTATAGGCCTGGCAGTTCAAATCTGTCTTAACCTTTAAAATGATCTCACCTGTACAACAATGGCACCATTAACTCAGGAGCACGTAAAGCTACAAATATCTTAGTAATTAAGCAGTAACAAAAGGCTGGTGTAAAACCAAAGCTTCTATCTGATGAACATCAGGTTTTAGCTGGCTAGCCTCTCTGTCAGTCATGGCATGTGGGAGCCGCACTGTGTTGCTTCTCTGTGTTTTGTTGATTACAGTGATGGCTCCTTACACACTTACAGTCCCCATGGAGAGGAAGAATGGTACTACTCTGAAAAGATTAACATTTAAATCAAATCTGTGGAAGATCTACAAATAAAACTAAGCCAGGCATATAGGATATCTACATCGAAACTATATATTCAAATTTCACTTTAGTTCATCACTTCCTCTTCCCTTTAAAGCATTCCTGAACAAAAGCCCGGTCACAATTTAAGCGCAGGTGGTTTTACATTTTCTATTAGTCCCATAAGTCACTTTGATTTACCTTACCAGGCAGATTTAAATGAATACATTTTCCTCTTTCCACATTTCCCCTTTACCTACTGAAGCCGAGCGAGCTGCTATTGAAGAATTTATTAGTTAAGTATGTTTGGCTCACAGTAGCTTCGACATTCTTTTTCTTATAGATATATATCCAGAGAAAGTCCCAGGCTCTCCAGAAAATGAGCTGAAATCCAGATGGGAAAACCTACTGGGCCCAGATTATGAAGTAATGGTATGTTTTAAAAAAAATATATTTTAATAGAAAGTTTCATTTCATGTTATTCTCCTAACACAGTAATTTAAAATATAAGAATCAAAGAAGGCACAGGCTGCCTTTATTGTTTTCTTCCTGTCTTTTTTTCCGATTAAAGCAATCAATCAATTTTTAAAGCATTTTAAGCTATAAGAACAATTAAGGACTGTACACAAACTTCACTTACAATTATCAGACACTCGGTTCATGTTGAAGCCATTTAAGTCAACAACAAGAAGTACATTAGGAGGGTGAGAGCTTGCCTGTAAATTTATAACTTGAATCAGCTGCTTAAAATGGCTGGCATCTTTATGGTTGCTTTTATGACCTGTTTGTTTTATCGTACACTGAAAGGGCTGTGGATATTAGTCCTATGTTTCACAAAGAATCTTACAGTTTTATGAGAAAAATGAAAGAATGATTATCAAATGTATTTAGGAGAACAGGAAGTAATTTAGGTGAGGCATGAGGTTCTACTGCCAGCAGGCCGGCCGTTAGATTTCCTTTCACCTGTTATTACATTTGGCCAGTAAAGGATTGGTTACACTTCCCCAAGTGAGTCCACTTGAAAGCAGAAAACTGTGTTAGAAAAATCTCATCAGTGTTCATCAAACATGCCAATAAATATCTGCTGTCTTTCATATTTTCTTTTTTGAGGCAAGGTCTTGGTATGTAGCTCTGACACATATTCTTATGTATGTGCTCATTAATATTTTGCTGTCATCAATGCCAGACTCTTTATTTCTGGTTTTGGATGTTTGGCACTGTCACTAGAGAAACTTTAGGTCATTAAGTCACATGGTTGTTTTCTTGCTTATTCTGGGCCTGTCTGTGTCTGTTAGTTCCTGTAGCTGCAGGTTCTCCAGGTCATAGAACACTGTCACTAGACACTCACACTCTACAGTCAGTGGTATATGTTCAGAGACTTCATGGCTCACCAGTTATATCACAGGGGTTTTGTTTTTGCTTTTTTGATCCAGGATCTCATGTAGCCTAAGCTGGTCTCAAACTTGCTGTGTAGCTAAAATGATAACCTGGAACTTGTGGTCTTCTTTCACTACCAGTTGTGGAATTACAGACATGAACTATTATCATCTATCATGCCTCGTTTATGAGAGCTCAAATTTAGGGCTTTCTGTATGCTAGCCAGACTTTTCACTAACTGTCCTTTGTGTGTGTGTTTGTGTGTGCGTGCGTGCGTGTGTGAAAGTTTTATTCTCTCTATATCAGACTTTCGTATATCACATGGTGAAGTGGAGGCTAGATGGGAGAGAGAATTTAAGTTGGATATTTACAGTGATTCCTTTAAAGTTGTAGGGATACAAGGGGAAGCTCGGAATGGCAGGTGAGTGAGTGAACACACACATTCCACTGTTCTTATTGTTCTTTCCTCCAGAGTCCTGCTGATCTGTTTGTTCATGGAGGAGGGGGTAGTGATTTGAGACAGGGTCTTGTGTAAGTCAGCCTAAAATTCTGTTAGCTGAGGCTAGCCTTGAACTCCTCCTGATCCTCCTGTCACCATCTCCTCCATGACTGACTTACAGAAGTTAAGACCTCAGTTTGAAATTTTAAAATGGCAATGCTCTTGGTTTGTCAAGAGTAAACTTTTAAAATATTCTGTTATGATTGTGTGTGTGAATATGGGTGTACGTGTAGCGATCAGAGGACAACTTTCAGGAGTCCGGTGTCGTCTACCTTGGCATTTGTTTTAAAGATCACACTCAGTTTATTAGGCTTGTGCAGCAAGAGGTTTTTCCTGGCGATCCATTTTTAAAAATATTTATTTTATTTTCTGTGTAAATCCCTGACTGAGTGTGTATATATATATATATGAACCACTTCTGTACTTGGTGCCCATACAGGCCAGAAGACAGTGTCAGATTCTTTGTAACTGGAGTTACAGATGGTTGTGAGGCCACCATGGGGGTGTGGAAATCAAACCCAGGTCCTCTGTAAACAACAAAGTAAAATAAAATAAAATAAAAATAACCATGCTTTTAACTGCCAAGTCATCTCTCTAGCCCCCTGCTTAGTTATCTTGGTGGTCCAACAATAGAATTTTTATTAAAATTTAAGGGGTCATAGAACGTAAAGTTGGCATAGTTAGACCATCATATCTATTTGCTCCATGTTTATGGATTCCTCATTCTCACTGTGGTTTCAACACATTTGGGAAATTTTTTCATCATAACTGAACAGGTACAAATTTGTTCTTACATCAACATTCCTAAGTAGTATATTGAGGCATGTTTATGTAGCATTTTCCTTGTATTAGGAATCATAAGGAAGTTAGAACTGGTTTCAGTGCATATACCTAGTATACCTTCATGAAAGTTTGAGCAATCCCTCAATACCAAAAGATAGAATGTGTGTGAGTTGTTCAAATAATAGTCTGAGTTTTATTGGTAGACAATCCGTGGAAACGAATTATAAGAAAAAGTACTTCATTGATGACTTAAGTCTGTTAATAAAATATAGCCCATGTAGAAGGAGAACAAGACATCAATTTACATATCACCTTCAGTTCAACTTGTGGATGACGTAGGGTGAAGAGATTAGTGTAGCAAATACAGAAAGGCAAATGTGTTGCTGCGTGCTACTTACGGATTTCAGAAATTCTGGGTAGAGATTTTCAGATTAGTCATTAGTGTGCTGGGTTTGCAAATAAACTTCAGAATATGAAGGAGCAAATGAAATTACACTCATACATATGGAAATGATCTTCTTATAATTCTAGGTAGCCACTCTGGACACACAGATTGCAGATGATGAGGAGCTACAGAAGTACTCAAAGGTAGGCACTTGGCTGAAAGCACTGCTCCAATTTATTGTTGAGGTGAGCTTTCTTTACATTCTTGCTGAAGAAGCTAAGTGGCATGACCCAAAGTCTTCAGAACTTAATCACACATGTGTTCCAGAAGTGATCGAGGCTGTCAGTAATAACAGATACACATGGTTAGATGAGGCTGGGAAGAAGGGGGAATCCGGTGCCATTTCTGGAAGCCAAAAGCCCAAGTTTCACTCTGGCATAGTAGCCTTGAAGGTGACAGGTAAGTGTGTCAGCTCCTCAGGTGTTGTATGGAGACTTTTGGGAGAGGTTTTCTACAGTCTAGAATAGAAATAGGTTTTGAGAAACATAATGTCTGGATGTTCAGGGACAGAAAACATGGTTGACCTTCTGAGTTTGTTGTTCTTGACTTAATCTATCTGAAGTAATCACTATTGCTGTCTAGCACATGCAGTTATGTGATTTGGGCAGATTCTGTCTTTTCCTTACAGAGTAATTTGTAGTTTCTATCCTTGACAATCAGAACTTCACTGATTAAAATAGAGAACCTTTTAAATGGTCTTCACAATAAATAATAGAAAAGGAAGGATTGTTTATTCCCAGAGTTTCAGAAACACTATTGCACTCCTACAGGGACCTTATCACTGAGCCCACCTTAGACTCTCCATTCAGAGACAATGTTTAAGGTGAGTTCTCTCCGGGCTGGAGAGTGGGGCCGTTGGTTAAGAGCCTGTGCTGCTGCTCCAGAGCACCTGAGTTAGGTTCCCAGCCACCAGGTAGGGTGCTTGTAACTTCAGCTTTAGAGGACCTTGGCCTTCCTGTGGCCTCCATGGGCACACACACACACACGAGTAAGTTTTTAGAAAGAATGAGTTATCTGACTCATGTGGATTTCTTAAACTAAGTATATGTTCAGATGTTTTACTGTTTCTTCCTTTGCATATGTGGTATTTTGCTTCCACAATTGTTTGCTGAATGTGCTGTTGTTTTAGATGTGTGTGTGTGTGTGTGTGTGTGTGTTTGTGTATGTGTGTGCTTGTGTATGTGTGTATGTGTATGATCAGGCCTCATATCACGGTGCAGAGATCAGAGGACAACTTTCCAGATCTGGTTCTCTCCTGCCATCTTGTGGGAACTGTGGATTGAACTCGTGTCCTTAGGCCTATAAGGAAGCCCCTTTCTTTATATGCCGAGCTGTCTTGCTGGCCATTGTTTTATGGGGTTGGATTCTCAAGGTCGATAGTGGAGAATATTTCTTTCCTTTCCTAACTCAGCTGCATTTTAAGTCAGTTCCTCATAGAGTCCATGTTGTCTGGCTGACCAGGCTCTCCTCAGATTCACAATGTAACATTAACATTGCTTTTTGCAGCTAGTTGTTAATTACTTCGTGTCATCTTCTGACAGTAGTTGATTAATAAATCCATCTAAATATGTTGAGAGATTTTTATTCAGAGCGGGGGTAAAGCATGTAATAGTCCATTTAAGCTCAGTAGTTATTTGACTATTCACAGTTTTTCTAATTAGTTTTAAACCTCCTTTGTCATATAGCTGTAGATCTTTAGAGATCCTTTGGCTTTAAAACATGCCTCAGACCAGGCTCAGTTCATCACACAACTTGCCTTCTGGTGCTCCCATGACAGAAAGCACAAGACCAGTATCCTAATCCTAATAGTGCCTAACAAGCAGAGAGAGACACAAAGCATGTCGTGTGTGTGTGTGTGTGTGTGTGTGTGTGTGTGTTGGTTTTTCGAGACAGGGTTTCTCTGTGTAGCCCTGGCTGTCCTGGAACTCACCCTGTAGACAAGGCTGGCCTCGAACTCAGAAATCCGCCTGCCTCTGCCTCCCAAGTACTGGGATTAAAGGCATGTGCCACCACTGCCCGCTGTCCTTGTGTATATTTTAAAGAATGTGATTCTGCAGGCAGATACTGTTATCATGTCCTCATTCCCTAGTCCCTGCTACCAGCTTCCCCACATAGCCTCTGTGCAGGAGAGTTGTATCCAGTCAGTGACATAAGTAGATGGGAAGACCTTGAGAACCATGTTCTAAAATGCTGCCCATGCATTCAGCTGCTAATTCATGAGATACTGGTATGCACTCTACCATGTGCTCTGGTGTAAAATGGATTCTAGATGACAACAAACCAGAAAACAATCTTTGCATTGTTATATTAGTGGAAGAACAACAATAAAATTAGTCATTTACTAAAGATAACGTGACTTGAGACTATTAGACAAGGCACGTAGATAGGGAAACAAATGGCTAGCAACTTTAGACAGGAAAGAGTTCTTAAAGGTGGGAACATTTAAAAGTCTTCACCCTGCATACCTCTGAGTTGTCACTTTGGTGAGTTCCTGCCATGTTGCGAAGGCAGGTGAAGAATTCTGTTTTCCTGCTTCTGCTTCCTAAGTGACTCAGATTTCATCCACACATGCTCTGGGTTTAGAAGATGACATTTTAGGGGGCAATTTAGGACATGAAATAACTAGCCTAATTTTCTTTGCAACGTAATATGAAAAATAATAAGACTTGGTGGTGGTGGAGAGGAAATGTAAATAGACTTGACATATGTCTTCATTTGTACAGCTCAGTGGTAAGTGATGCTTTTCTGTCTTAGGTACACGTGTCCAGAACTTTTAGAATATGATCTTTCAAAAGCTCCTTACCATATATACTGTCTTTAAAACATTTAATTATTTACTTGATACTGTTTTTTTATTAGTTCCCCCCTACAGTGGAAGAAAAAAGTTTTTCCCCAGGTTGCACCAGACTCGATATTTCTCTGTTCCCTGTGTATCTTTGTGTATTTGCAGCCAGTATGCCTATTTGTTTGCTTAATATGTATGAGGCAAAAAGTTGTCTAAGTTTTCCACCTAACATTTTCAATTTTTTATACTGATTTTTAAGTTATTAAGGTCTGTAGGATATTTTTCTTTAAGTTACTGACTTATAACCTAAACAGCATAACTTTTAGGAGTGTGTGTGTGTATGTGTATGTGTGTGTGTGTGTGTGTGTGTGTGTGTTGTGTACTCAGTGACTGTGGAAGCAAGAAGAGGGATTGAATTCTTCGAGCTGGTATTAGAGGTGTTTGTGAGCCATCTGATGTGTGTCCTGAGAACTGAACTTGGGTCCTGTGGAAGAGCACCGGGTTCTCCTAACCAGTGAGTCATCACTCCAGCCGCAAACATAACTTTTTAAAAATCCATTTATAAACTAGGAGAGGAGGTGCACAGTTTTAATCCCAGTAGTAAGGAAACACAGGCATGCAATCTCTTAGTTCAAGGCCAGCCTGGTCTACAGAGCAAGTTTCAGAATACCCAGGGCTACACAGAGAAATGCTGTCTCAGAAACAACAACAAAACAAAATATCCATCTATAATTGCACATTTAAATCATAAGTCAGTACCTTTTTCTTCCTACAGTATATAAAGAAAATGTTAGCCAATCAAAACCCATTTCACAGGTGAGGTTGTGGGAGGCTTTATAAATTGAATGACAATTGTATAGCTAGATAATAGTGCAGACAGGCTGCAGCTTGGTATGTATCACTTATTCCTGAAGTGTCTACAGTAGAATTCCCACTGTTTGCTACGTACTGTGGTAGCACTTGTGGGGACAAATGAGTAGGTCTCTGATCCCATGGAGCTCAGAATCTGGGCTTGAGCAGGGGCACAAGATCATGTGATAGTGTCTACATGTAGATCTCGAGAACTACTGTAAGTGAAGAAATCGGGTTAACAGAACTGGGCAAGACTACTTTGTTTTTTTGTTTGTTTTGTTTTTTATTCTTTCAAAGATTTAATTGTTGGCTCTTAAAGTGGATATGAAGGATAACTTAAGTAGGAAGACAGTAGAGAACCATATGTTTGAAAATACCATAATAAGCTGGAGAGAGTTGCAGCCCTGGGAGACTGAGGCAAGAAGATTGCCTCAAGTTCCTGGCCAAGCTTGGATACATAGGAGATTCAAAAGAGAAGAAGTAAATCAGTGCTGTAATGAAATACATGACTTTGTATACTCAGTTAAATAAATAAATGAGGGGGAAAGACCAGCCCATCAGGATTCAGTAGAACTCTAATTGTCAAATACGCATTGTACGGGGAGTGTGGACGGCGTGGTAGAGCTAGTAGCCTGGCAGGGTCCAGTTGCTGCTCCCATGCTGCCATTTGTATTTTAGTGAACCTTTTATTGTTCCGGTGTAAACAGTTTAATTTCTTTCATGAAACATATATTCTAAGACTCAGAATAAACAGCAATGGTTAGGAAATTGAAAAGAATACAGTTTTTAGAGTCATCTTACTCACCTATCTTTGAAAAAGTGTTTTTTTGTTGTTGTTGTTTTCTTACAAGAATAATTTTGAAACATATGGCTCTATGCTGTCTTCCTACTTAAGTTACCCTTCATGTCCTCTTTAAAAATCAACAGTTAAATCTTTGAAAGAATAAAGAAACAAAACAAAACATAAGCCAAAGTCGTTCTTTTCCCTTCCATGTTGTATTTTTTTTCCATTGATGTATAATAATTTTACTTCTGGGATGTACATGTATACAATGTATAATGTGTATGTTCGTGAATGTATAATCTGTTGTACACTTTACTTACACTAGTGCTGTGAAACATCGGACTCCTTCTCTACTTGTCACCATTTGTTTATTCTCTCTGGTAACTTCTATTCTATTTTCTCATCAATGTCATTAGCTGATTTAGAAGAGGACAGGGAGACAGGGAGACAAGGAATGGCTGAACTTGGTCTTGAAAAGAAGAATGTATCTGGCTGGGAACTAAGTAACAGACACCCCCCCACCCCTACCCCACCACCACCACCCACCCCTGGCTGTGGCAAAGGACTACTATATGAGAGGAATAAAAGGTTTTTCATCCATCTGGGTCAAACTTAACAATGGGAAAATTCTAACTGAGGTTCATAAGAAATGCAGAGTGGTAGGCATGGACTTTGTCCAGGATACCAGGACCCATCGAGGGAAAGATTGAAGCAGGGAGTGA